ATTGTATATAATGTAAGTATTGTAAATAGTGTAAATATAGTAAATAGTTTAAGAATTGTACATGGTATCAATATCATAAGTAGTTTAAGTATTGTAAGTAATGTACATATTGTAAATCGTGTAAATAGTGTGCATACTGTAAAGTACGTATGTATTGAAAACATATATAACATAAATACACTGTATATGAATTATGAAATTACATTTATAATACTTCATTTTCCTTATTACATTTCCTTTCATCTAATTTCCTGCATATGTCATACTAAAATAAATATGTCATACTTTCCCATGCATTTAATAGTTGAAATCGTGCAATAGTTACATAATTAATATATATAAGTAAAAAATAGAATGAATGGAAGAAATGGAATGAGGAGCGGCCGCTTAGCGTTCGATACTCAGCAGCGAAGATGTACGTAATCGCGAACGCAGTATAGCGGCGATGCTCGCATTCGGCTCCCACTGCCTCGCAGCAGCCGCAGTTTCTCATGATGTTACAGGCCGCGCCGCGGTGTTACAGGCGCTCCGCAGTGTGACGGGCTCCAGGCAGAAAGGTATCATGTTCGCCTTATCGCAAACTGCGGTTAGCCCAGGCTGCGAGGAGATCGGCCCCTTTTTCCGTCCTATGCAGAACTCTGCTCCAGATAGCCACGAATAAAACTGCAATTGTCAGCTACTCAAAGAATCATGATAAACCAGACACAAACAACAACTTTATCACTGTTGATAATATAAAACTGCCTATAACAGACAATTTTAAGTACCTTGGGATTATAATCGACAACAAGCTCAGTTACGGAAAACATATGGACTCTTTAATTCCAAAACTTAAGGGCTACGTGTATAACATCTCGCGAATTTTGCCGAACCTTAGGGGCCCGAATGAGTATGTCAGGCGATTATATGCAAATACCTTCAGCTCCATTGCATTGTACGGCGCCCCAATCTGGGCCAAGGCAATTTTAAAGAACCCCAAACTTCTTAGAACCCTATTCGCCGTTCAAAAGAGTATGGCAAATAGGATCGTATGTGCCTACAAGATTGCTTCATTGGAGTCGACCTTAGTTCTTGCTAGGTCTGTCCCACTGGACATCCAAATAGCCGTTCATGCTGAAATTTATACAACCATTGAGACACTGAAAGCATCCCCCAGCTACTCTATAGCCTCGGTAAATGCTTTAAAAAACGATAGACATAGGATTATGATATTGCGATGGTATGAGCGTCTGAACCGCTTGCCCCCTGCTCCTAACTCAATTACTCATGCAATTGCTCCTCTTCTCTCCGAGTGGCTTAACAGGAGCCATGGGTCAATTGACTTCTATCTCTCGCAACTTCTGACTGGTCACGGGTGCTTTGGCAAGTTCCTCCACCAAATAAAGAAAGAATCCTCCCCTAGGTGTCATCACTGCGATTCGCCTTTAGACAATAACATTCACACAATTTTCCAATGCCCCGCCTGGGCAAATCAAAGAACTGAATTATTTAACTCCATCGGCACTGTTAGCTCTCTATCCCAGATTATCAGAGCAATCCTAGCATCTGAGGACTGCTGGACCTCACTTGTACGCTTCGCACGCCAGGTGCTGTCATGCAAAGAATATGAAGAACGCAAGAGAGAGGCCGTTGGCCGATAATTGCGACAGGTCTAATTAAGTTTTGTAGAAACGGACAAGTTATCCTATCCTTTTAATGCTCCTATACGCTATATACGTTATTTATTAAAGATGTTATTTATTAAAGATGTTATTTATATGATATGTTAGGT